GCGTGGGCATATTAACAAAGGTTTTTGGTCTTATATTCTTAGTTCAATTTGTTAAATGTAAGCTTAAATCTGTTACTATATAATAAGGCCAAAGATTTACTTAAACCTGTAAGTAAAATCCCACCTAAACATTTACTAAATTTAGAAATTTATAAAATAATTTAAATTTTGAAATTTTAAATGAAAATAAGTGTATATATTATTTTCTTCTAGTTAGTTAAAAATAAGTTAAAGTAACTATTTTTTATTCCATCTGGATCTTTTGGGAACATATTTTTTTTTTTTTTCCCCTTATAGTGGACATTTTTTAAAATTCATTCAATATCATTTTTTATATAAAAAGAAATTTGTTTTACTTTTTTAGATAGTGTTTCAAATTTGATTTCAATATCATTAATTAAAATTTTCCAATACGTAACTTGTGATTCTTTACTTTTATCACACTTTTTAAATCCTTTTTATAATATTTTAATGTTTATATCATTTTACCATTTTTGTTTTAAATGTTTTTCCATTTTTTCCGCTTTCAATTTTTTAATACGTTGAAAATCTTTTATCCTATATTTGTTTTTATCTGTTAGTTGAAATCTTTATCAAATTTTAAAAAACTTGATCATCTTTATTTAAGCTATGTAATTACGTTCATCAATTAATAAAACATTTAAAAAAAAAAAAAATTAACCTTCGACCATTAAAAATAAAATACACATTGTTTGGACAATTTAGTAAAAAAAATGGATGGAACATTTTTTTTAATAATTTAATGTACTTTATTGAATTGCATAATTTATATACCACATTTATTATTATGCTTTAATTTTTTTAATAATAGAACAGATACCAACACACATATGAATGCATTTATATCTATATCTATTAATATAAACATTATTTCTTAAAAAGTCTAAACCTTAAACCATTATAATTTACTAGTACAATACCCGTGTATTACACGGGTGCTTGCTAATTTATTTTTTTAAAATTTAAAATTAATGAGAAAAAGTAGTTTGAAAATTTAAATACCTTTTATAAGAATATATATATATATACATATTATATATTTATTATGATATTTTTTATTTGTGCGACTTACTTGTGTTATACTATACTAATTTTTTAACTTACACTATATAACTACATTAAATATAAATATATCAATTGAGAAATAATTTTATTTTTCTAATGAATTTTAATAAATATTATTATTTTTTATTATTATAAAGATAAATATAATTTATTTATTTTATATATACAATATGAATGTCAAATCGAAGATCATCAAAAGATGATTAATTTGATATATTATATATGTAAAACCGATAAGAAATACAAAAGTTATCTACTTTTAAAATACATTTATAATTCAATAGCTTATTGAAGGAAGCAAATCAAAATTTAGGGATATATTAGTCACTTAGTGTCTCACTATGTAAAATTACAAATAATTAAAGGGATAAATTAGTAAAAGTGATATTAAAATACCTAAGTTAGCTAAATAATATTTATGGAATACCCGAACCTAGATTATTAATTATTATTATATTAATATTATTTGTCCAAACCTAATTACGAAGCATGATTCTTCGCCAAATAGGATTCCGAAGCACCAGAAGCAGCCACGTTGGCTCAGCGCATTCTAGAATTATATATAGGGAGGATAATACACATTGTTTGGAAAATTTAGTAAAATATTTACAGCTAAAAAATGGAAGAAACATTTCCTTAATAAATTAATGTATTTCATTGAATCGCATGATTTATATACCATATTGAAAATAACTTATGAATTTTTTTAATCTTAAAACAGATACCAATGCACACATGAAAGCATTTATATATAATATAAAAATTGACTTAAGATTTATCTTAAATAGTGAGCAAAAATCCAGACCTTTTTTTTTTATTACACATAGGAATTCCAATTAATTTTTCCGCCTTTAAAATCTGATGAATAAATTTAAAAAAAAAAATTAAATTCAAAATCTGATAATAATTCCAAATCTAAAATCTGATAATAAAATTTGCAGCATAACTGTGAATATCTACTTAGATAGGAAATAATAAATATAATGTACACCATGTATTACTACTTTCCGTCGACTTTCCGGTGAGTTTGCCGGCAACTTTCCCGCACATATCCAGCGTCGTCAAGCATATTTTCGGAGTGCATAATCCTATAAAATGAAATATAAAAGTAACAACAAATAACACGGAAACAAATGAACTGGCAAAATAATTTAATGGACCGAAAAAATTATAAAACGAATTCAAGAATAAATTAAAAAAAAAAAAAAAAAACCATTAAAACAATTAAAAATAAAATACCAACAAAAACATACGCAACATCTTATTTTGTGCACAAATAATTCATTGAAGTGTGTATATAGTGGTTTCCTAAAATCTCGTCTGCCAAAATTAGTATCTCTCACGATTTTCTTATAATGTCTCATTTTCCAGCAAGGTTACTTAGAATGATCAAATCATCTTATTTT